AAGGTCCTTGGGTTCACCTCGCTAAGCTCCTCTCCAGCCCTTAGCTCCAGTGCTCCTGACTATCATTCTGTTCAAGTGACCACACTGATGTCTGTCTCAAAGCTACTACTCTTCATTCAGCTGAAATGTCACCTTCTCAGAGCTGTTCCATCATCCCTCCCTCAAATTCTATGTTCAGGAAGCAAGAGCAGTGCTTTCAAGTATCCAAGTCTGAAAAGGAGGTTGCCAGGGTCCAGCAAATACTGCAAAGTGGAGCTTAATTGTGCCATGTATCAAAAAATTAGATCTCATGTGTCACTGCAATGTTTCATTTGAGGAAAGTGTTAATACAAATTTAACTTTGGATTGTTTTTGGTGACCTTCTGGATTATTTACAACGCCTTAGTTTGATGAACCAATGAACTGGGAGCTACCACGTTCAAAGCAGTTCTTTACGTTTGAGCAAGTACAAAAAATCCTGGGTTTAAATTTTAAATCCTGGGGTTTAAAATCTGCTATTCACTTAAGTTAAATAAGTCATGACTGCACACCTACTCTGTGCCAGGAACTCTCCTGGGCCTGTGCGGATAGTTCGAGGAATATTCCCTGTCCTTTGAGGATTTTCACTTTGGTTGGGGAAACAGACAGCAAACACATCCCTACTATATTCAGGTGGTCAGGTGAGCCTGTGTGGAGGTGACATTTGAGAAGAAGCTTGATGTTCACAAGAGTCAGAGGGAAAATTAAGATTTTATTTTTCTTTTTGCTATTTTTAGATGTATGTCACTTCCGTGGAATTTATTTTCATGGCTTTTGATATTTCAGAATGAAAATACATAAAACAAGGGCAAATACAAATGCATACAGAATATTGTCAGAAACCCTCTGTGGCCACATTGGCCTGTTCTAATCCTTCTGTGCTTGTAATTGAAAAGGCAGTTCACAAAAGAATGACATAGAGATGAACAAACTTTAAAACTTCACTCAAAAATCAAAACAAGGAATACCTGTATATCTCACTCCAAACTCTGAATGTATAAACTATACATTGCTGAACAAAATGCTCTAAATCCTGACTCAATTGAAAATGTTGCAAAATGTGCCTTGACACGAGATTAATGTACCTGTATTCATAAATGATGTTTGGATCTTGAGTAGAAAACATATCTACAACATAAAAAAAAACACCCAAGGAGTTTTTATCACAAGTTCTTACCTGGGTAAATGTCGGATACCTCCAGAATATTGCTCATATTTGTAGTTCACCACATACCACTGGGAACTATAAAATTTACAAGCCTGAAAAGAAAAGAGACAATTATAAAAATTACCATGCCAAGTACTGTGAATATAGTTCTCACAATCCCAGGCTGGTGGTTATGTTAGTGATTTTAAGATAGATAAGGAGCTTGCTCTTTCTAATCATTTCACGTTTTCTAGTGAAATGGAAATCTAATCTTTCCCAGACTCATGGAGGAGGAACCATTTAACATAGTTATTCTATTTTACTCCATCAAGGAAAACTTAATGCGATCACCATTGAATCACACCGGATACGCTGCTAACCACAAGAACCATCATTCTTTAGCTATTCCTGGCAACCCCTTTCATGGTATGAGGGTTCTTAGTAGTGAAAGATGTTCTCATTTATATGTTCACTTTTTGTCATAATTTCAGGCCCTTTCTTCTTATTCTTAGGCTTCACTAACCAATCCTTTTCTTTTTTATATCAACACCCTTGTCAGTCCCAAACTGGCTTCTTAGTTTTACCTCATACCTTCTGAAGCACAGCTTCTCCATGACCAAAATAGATTTTATAAACAAGTGTGAATACAGATATGTAAAAACTGTTTTAGAAACAAAGCCAGTTGCACAAAATAACTAGCATGTAGTGGGTGGTATATGACCATTGGTTTTATGGTGTTTATTGACAGCAAATCTTTTCCAAAAAAAGTGCATTGATTACTGTAATAACTGTGGATCGTAATAGAGATTTCATGAGATAGCATTTAAGACTCCTTTCAATTCTAAAATCACATGATTCTAGGACTAAAAGTAATTACTTAAGATTGTATGGAGACCTTGTCCTCCTGCACCAGTGGAAAAAATGAAGAGCAATGAACTTATTGCACTGTGAAGAATAAAGGCCTGTGTTTGTCTTTGTAGCCAGGAAGAGGACAGGCAAGGCACAGAGCTGCTGTAA